CTTCACCCCCCCCGGGCTGTCCCCAAAGAACCTCTGCACTTTAGCCCAGAGCTCCGGCTGCCAAGACAACGTGGGTGCGGTGGTGGTGTGTCTGAACGTGGGCTTGGACAGCTGCACCTGCGAGGTGCACGGCCTGACCCTGCCAGGCCCTGGGGCGTTTGGTTCCACCACCGCCAAGCCAGCAACACCTTCATCTAGCAGTGGAATTGCTTCAGAGTTCAACAGTGAGCTCTCTGCTTCCGAGGTGAGCAGCGAGGTGGGCTCCACTGCTTCCGACGAGCACGGCGCTGCCGGCCTGGAGGGCACGTTGCGCCCGGAGCGGCGCTGCAGCCCCCCCCCCGCGCCCCCTGCCAGCCTCTTCCAGCGCCAGCCTTCCAGTGCCACCTTCTCCAGCAATCAGTCTGACAACGGCCTGGATAGCGATGATGAGCAGCCTGTGGAAGGGGTGATGACAAACGGCAGTAAAGTGGAGGTGGAGGTGGACATCCACTGCTGTAAAGGAAAGGGCCTGGAGTCTGAACCTCCTGCTGCAGAGCACGACTCCTCTGCGCCGGGGCCAGAGCGTGACTCTGGTCTTGTTCTCATGATTCGGAGACAGAACAGTGTGAACAGCAACACTGTGCAGAGAGGGGTCAAGGAGAAGTGTGAACTGCAAAAATCTCTTTCCACATGCTGTCTCTATGGAAAGAAGCTTTCCAATGGCTCCATAGTGCCCTTGGAGGAGAGCCTCAACCTCATCGAAGTAGCCACAGAGGCACCCAAGAAGAAGACAGGCTATTTTGCTGCTCCATCCCAGGTGGAGCCAGAGGATCAATTTGTGGTGCCACCAGATCTGGAGGAGGAGGTAAAGGAACAAATGAAGCAGCACCAGGAGAATGGAGCAGATGAGGAGAATAAAGAGGAACATGGAGCAGCTCTGCCAGAGGAGTTTGACACAGCTTTGTAACCCTACAAGTATTACTCCCACATTGTCTGTTCCAGGAAGCTCTGTCCCACAAGGGCTGTCTTGTCCCCCAAGGGGAGCTGGGATCTGCAAGGAGTACAGGCATCTGCTGCTTTCTTCATGGAGGGAGAATTGGGAGTGCTGAGATCTGGGCTGTCCCCTTTTTACTGTAGAGTCTCAGCGGTTCTGTGAGTGCTCAGACCAGCAGCTGATCTCTGTGTCAGGGACTGTCTGGAAATTGTGCAAGCACTAGGAAGAAGGCAGGTGTTCCACCACCTGTCAGTAACTCCTGGAACCCTGAGGTTCTGCTGGCTCTGCAGGAGAGAGGCTGGAATATGTGTGTGGGGGGTGACGAGGCTGCTGAGGGGGCAATGTGCAGTGTTTGGAGTCCTGTGAATATTTCTGATGCAGCCCCAGAACATCTTTGTTGTTCCTTGAAAGAATACAGCCAGTTGCAATGAAGCTCACCCAAGAATGGTTTCCTGCATTATTGCAAGCACTTTTATTGATTGCACTTAAGCTGTTCTGCTCCCCTTCAGCCCAGCACTTTATTATTTAGGACTAGGGGAGAGAGCACTCTACAGCAGGTGTGCTGGGGGCTTTTCCCAGTGGATATTTTTAGGGCAGTGGAGGACTCAGGGAACCAGTGCTCCGATGAGCACTGGTGCAGAGTGGAGTGAGGGTTATGAGGGGATCAACCTCTACACAGCTGAGTGATAGGCAGGTGCCTCCTGATGCACTTGATGTGGAGCACAGGACAGATCAGCTCTGGACTGGTTGGTTACGGTGATGTGTAGAGCTAGTGTTTGCAGCTGCAGAGCACAGACCCAGCAGTAGTCTGGCCACCTCTGTCACGGATGCTTCATCACAGAGGCTTCCTATGTCCAGAAGACATGGGATGCAAGCTGGAACTGATGCTTGTTCCAGGAAGGTGCTCTGTCCCAGAGGACACAGGTGGTGAGCACTCCTGTGGCTCTGAGGCTGGTGAGCCGCAGGGCTGCCCTGCGGCTGCTGGGGCCCCCCTGCTCTGAGCACCAGCCTGAACCTCTACACTGGCAGCTGAGCAGCCTCTTGACTCGCCTCTGAGCGCAGCAGCCATGTTCCAAATCCACAGCAACCTGCATTTCATGGTACATGCCCAAGAAAAATAGAACTTTTCACCTTAATAACATCTTTATCAGCACTGGAAAAGATGTTTAAACAGTCCCACTAATGGTGATGTGGCGAGTCTGCACTCTGTGTTGTGTTTCCATGAGGGTTTCTGGGCCAGGGTGCAAGGTGACTGCCTGTGTTGTCACCTTGTGTCAGGGCTGTGAAGAGACTGTCCCCCCTGTAGTGTGCTGATCTGTCTTCCTTGGCTGGCAGAGAGCTGGACAGCAGCTGCCCCCAGTCATGTCAGCGGTGCAATAATCTGACTGTGGTGTGGGCTAGTGCCTTTCCTTCTTTCTTAGTTAAATTTATGAAGAAACCATGGAAATTTATTCTCGAGAGCTCTGAGAGGCTTGAGTTGTATATTTCTGGATTGAATTCAGGCATTGCTCAGCAGGA